TGTGCTTGGGGTGTGCTTGGGGTGTGCACGGGGTGTGCTTGGGGTGTGCTCATGGCGTCACAACCTGAACTTTGTTCATGTTTGCTATCTTATGATGAATGCGACTAATCTAAGGCAAGTCGGCCTAGGCTTCGAAAAGTTATCATCATGTGAATGCGAATACCGACTACAAATTAAGGCTGACGCGGCTACGCATCTAGTGCATCTTGCGCGTGTAAGTGATCTCGAAAGTCCTCAATAGCTTCCTGACGTTTGGGAGAGCCAAATTTATGAATCAGTATCTTCCACTCATTTTGTGTGGCTCATGTTAATCTTATCAGATCTAGAACACATCCTAGAACTCGATCTTGCTATATGATCTGTGCCTTGGTTTGCTGCTATACAACGATCATTATTAGCTCGCTGCTAGTTCATCTACACGAAGCTATATTTGGGCCTACGTCCCAGTAGTATTATTTCAGTGATTCTAGGAAACAAATGAACAGCGGACAATCTAATCAACAACAGAGTAGATGCTTTCCTCTTTACATGGTAAATGGTGATCGGTCAATCAGATGGGAAGCCTCCTGAAACTTGGGAAAGAGAGATTTTCTAAAGAGTTTTGGTATATTTCACTAAAATAGCTCTGTGTTCTCTGTTCGTAAATTCGGATAGCAAATTGATGCGCCACAACATCTGGAATGGGAATATCTACATGCTTCCAAATAGAATAAGTTTCTACAATCAGAAAATTGTCATCTTGAAGCCTTGTTCAAATCATGTTTCAAGTTTTGAGAATATTGCAGCCAGTAGACATCCCAAATCAGTAGCCAGACTGTGAAGTCATTAAAATGCAGATGAGTAGCATGGCTGTGCCGGCGTCACTCCAATTTCGAAGAAAATCAAGAGAGAAAGGAAAACACCGTTCATGGCCGAACAGAATATGAATCGATCTGGTGATATGCGGTCTTTGTTGTCAGAGTAACAAGAAGGACGAGTTCTTCTGGACAAGGCGTGTTTTCAAAGGCAGGTTTCTGAGCCGTTAGCTTCAATAATAACAAAACAAGTTTCAAGTGACCAACCTGTAGCAGTGAATCGATAGTCATCGTCCGTAGATCATCTGGTAGTGTTTTCATATCGGCGTTCCATTCATAGGATCTGTTCTTTGCCATCAGGCGCGTGACGATATCGGCCAAGGCATATGCTTTCCATGTGGCAGGATTCATTTCCGAGGTCGTAATTTGACAGCTTTTCTCCACCCCCCCTACAGATTGTTATTATTTTGATACGCCAGATGTATCATTTGAAACATACCGATCTTGACGTTGCCAGATTGCGTCACAAAAACCGTGTCGGGAGTTAGGCAGGCAAGGGCTCTGCCATGTTGTAGTAGATGATGAATACCATCAATGATCTGTAACTTGTTAGGCGAGAAGATAGACCAGCTTGTACCATTTATGACGTACCGGTCTGACAATTGCAATAATTTCACTTGCGGTGATCATGCATTTGCTGGCCATAATCTGGCTGATCGAGACCTCCACCGGTTCCCATACAAAGAAAACCGAATTAGTGTGGTGATAGGATTCTTGCAGGATTAAGAAGCTACGATGGTGTAGCTTTCTCAAGAGATTGAGAGTAGTGGCAAGCGAGGACGCTTCTTCATCAAGCTGCTCAATATGAACAAGTCGATGCTTTAGCGCCCTGCTTCGACTCAAAAACATCGACCGATTTTGCGATATCTTAGCGATTGGCTCAAAGCTTTCCCATGGATCCGTTTTATACTCCTTGATTAAAGTATTGGGCTGATCTCTCTTGCTGCCTGCAGAAACATAACGATCAAGAAGTGGGTTGTCTTGGGGACCATTTGGTGGGATCTCCCGTGTAGGAGAGCTATTACCATCGTTGCAAAGAAATTCTGATTCGTCCGGAAATATTGTCCGTCGGCGTTTGTATATTCTTTCATCGCCTTGTCTCATAGTGAAGTGCTTGATGAGAATGAAGTAAGAACAATTCACAAACCATTTATATATCCGCCTCTTGCTCAAGAAGCTGATATCAAGATTTGATCGATCGTCTCTTCTATTCTGGGTTGAAAGGTGGGGATCTTTTTCAATTTCTACGACGTTGGTACTATTAAGTACTCAATGATATGAGGTTCTCCAAGTTTTTGATGAAGGAAAGGTGTATAAATTGTTGATCACTGAAACCCTCGTTTTCGTTGAAGTTTTTCAGTGCTAATGGATTAAAGTTTGACAAAAGTGGCTGAGTTGATGGTGTCTACGATGTTTCTCCCTAGAATTCATCCAGTAGGTAATCGAGACTGCTCAAAAATTGCTCTACCCATCTGCTTTCCTATTACATCTTCTTTGAGCTTCATGCATAAAAGACACTTATTTATCATTGATTTGTTGTTATTGGCTATTCAATAATCGCAAGCTATATCATGGTCGGATACGTTCTTTACGTGAAAGAGGTAAGATTGGAATTTATGAGGATCATAGCTCAGCAGAGGAAACACAATAACCGTAATTCTCAGGGTTTCATGTGTCCACTTCTGTGAGGTTCCAAATATTGATGTTTCTGATCTATACGCCCGTAAGCCGCTATATGTTTATTGTAAAAAACTTAGATTGATGGAGACTAGCTTCTAAGCAAATAGTGGCTGGTTGATCCCTCTGTATCCTGATAGCCATTGCTCATATGAGCCGAGAAACGTCGCTTGCCAACCTTTTTAAAACACCAAATAAAATCCATCATCATGTTTTAATAAAACAGAAGATTCTTGAAGCAGTAATGAAGATAAAAAGAAAAAATTACAAGTAGAGTAAGACCGATGGCAGGCGACTCTGCATTTCCGGATCCTTGAAGTGGGATAGAGGTCACGGTTTGGATAGAATGAGAGCTAAACGGAGGCGTTGTCAATGTCTCCGAGGGAAGCGGCAAAGGGAATGTAGGCAATATCAGCGTGAGTGGAATTCCCTGACTTTCAAAACTTAAGATAGGGCTTGACGTAAGATTCTGATGCCCAACAACTTGATCTGTGGTAGTCTGGCCGCCTGCGATAGTGTCCCTGGCAACAATGTCACTTTAATAACCTGAGAAAAGCTGGAAGTGGAGCAAACGACATACAAACCCATAGTAATTGAAAGCATTATTCTCGTGAAGGGATCAGTCAGATGAATCGGATGAATGCCCGCTGGGAATTCCCTTTCTCAAAGATACAGTTTTCGGCTACGGTATTTATCAATGGCAAAGCCTCCTTGGATGAAAGCTAATATCAAATTATGTTTACCTGCAGGTGTTCTAGGTCCCATACTCCTGATCTATTTCCAACGTAATGAATGATAGTTGAGGCCAATCCCTAACCAGCACCCATCAGAAAATTCAGGTTTTAGGAGCCAAAGTCTTGTGGGTTGCGTATTTTGTTCATCAACAAAAGCAATCAATTTTTGGAATTCTCGTCCTTTCTGGTGTATTCAGCGGATAGCGCCGGAGCGAAGCCTACATCCTGTATCCGCGGGCTCAAATTTCCTGCGGCTACATCGCACTTCACCACTTCACCACTTCACCATTTCATCACTCACAACTTCACGACTTTGTGCTCTGATGTTTGCTCGAAATACTCATTGCGGCGTAAATCCACCCTCGCTACCATCTCGATATTCCTACGTTTATCATGCCCATTCCTTGATTTGGGTAAAGCGCGCTTTGCGGCGCAGATTTCCTCCCAGAAAACTTACGTATCACTTGACATCGGATTCATCAATCAGAGTAGATCTTCTAAGCACTTGTAACATATACGTATTAGGTCAATCTAGCTAAACTATCTATTGTGCAAAAAAGCGACAGAATCAAAACTGAAAGCAAAAGTTTGCTCAAAAAAAGTAATCGACTTATTAAATCTCCAGCACAGCGCGTAGGCTCTTTTTTCAATGCACAGGGATTTGCGGGGCTCCCGTCACGGGGGCACGCTCGGTCGGAGACGCTTTTCTGGTTCTTGCAACTGTCTCACAGTAGACATGATATGAACCCTTCGCCATGGCCCTTTTTGTCATTCTATCGTTCTCATCTAGTTCCTGCCAATTCTCTTCCCGTGCCATTTCTGTCACAAACTCTTCCCATGTCTGTACAAAACGACTTTCCTGGGACTCGGCGCCGGGTTCGTTTGTTACTTTTTGGACATGGGAACTCGGAGCAGCAGTGGTCTCTCTGGATGGGGAAAGACCCTCGTAGTTGCTGGACCCGTGAGAATCCGTCTGATTGACCTGGGAACTTCGAGGGACACTCTGGCGCGATGGTGTCCGAGTTTGATGCTGGCCGGGATCTTCGGGGCGATTCTCCGGTGTTTGGAGCCGTGAGGTGGATCGCCGAGTGTGGGAACTATTCGACGAAAGCCCCAGTGGACAAGGAGTTGGAGAACGGTCTTCATATGCCCCACCATCGGCATTCTCCAGAAACTTTTGATAACGTTTTTCCTGCTTATCCCAAAACTCGTGTATTTTGACCATAGTTGCGCGCTTGCCGCCACAGAACCGGGTGAACTCTGATCGGGGAATCCAAGAGCAGCCGCGAACCACCTTCCCCTGGTCCCCATCGATCATTCCTTTCCACTTGATCTTCACCCAAACACAGGGAGGGTTCTTGTACTCTTTGTACGGATTGCGCACTTCGGAGGTCACCCCATATATGTCCTCGACGTTATCGCGCGAATACCGCCAGTGTTTCTTGCCGGAGCTATCCTTGTCTCTCAGTGACGAAATGCGAGATTCTTCATCTGAGATATTGCGCATTTCCTCATTTTCGTAATTGGGACGATATTCAAATCTATACATGGCCGATTGACGTGGTCCAGATCGGATAATCACAAACGTCGACCCGCGGAAAGTTCCCCATCCATCAATAAGATCGTCGTGGACTGGGGTGCTGTTGCTGTTGGATGGCTGACCAGATGAAGGGCCCGGCAGTGGATCCAAGCGGCCGAGACTTTCACCGTCTTCAGAGGCCGCATCATCGTGGTTCTGCAAAGTGTCGTCTCTTTGGCTATATGAGGTAGTCCCAACTCCATCACGAGACACCCCCCTCAAAGATGTCTCGGCAGTAGCTCCCGAGTGTGAGTCCACTTCGCTCATATCGGTATCACTGTCGTCTCCTGCTTTTATAGTGGCTGCGGCAGGGGCCTTGTGCGCTGTGGAGGATGACTGTTCACCAGCATGGGAACTGCTCTGACCTTCGTGCCCAACGTCGTCGTGTTGTTCATGTCGGCTGCTAGCATCAGACAAAACTGCTTGATCTACAGCCATTGCAGCCTTTGCGGGGTGTAATTTTCCTTCATTTACTGCTAGTTCGATCTGTTCAAGACCTGAATCTCTCGGCTTCCCTTTGCTTGGCTTTTTGATACCGCTTATAGAGCTGTGCGGTGGTGGCATGATGAGAACCTCGATGGTCAAATGAGTGATTGAATCAAATGTTCATTGGGTTTCTGTAGCATATTATATATTCGAAGAGTCGCTTCAAATATTTACAGAATACTGTAGTGCGAACACACTTTGTTGCTGCTAGCTCGGACTCTTGGTAATTTATCCAATTCGTTAATCAAATGTGAGGTGATCATACAGTCCATGTATCTCTCTTGTGTACAAACTCCAAGATCTTGATGTCCTAAAAATATTATGCGCAGGGAGGGGCATTTTAAAGTTTCCTTGGAACAACAGGCTGTTTCACGCGTTTTCGGTGAACACGCATTGCAATGCAAGTAGCTGCGGCTTATATCTTATCCACAGATCGCTAGCAATTCAAATGGAACTGTTGTAAGCAGATGAACTCAAGAAAATTGACATCCCCATCATATAGCAAATCTTGAGGCATACCACCTCCTCCAGATGTTTTTAGAACATCTCTGTAACCTGACAGTGCAAATAATCTATCAAATATGTGACAGCTACGGAGTACTTGGAAATAGGCCAATCAGAGCAACGGAATCAAAAGGGGAGAAATTTAGTGTATGATTGATTGATTGAAGAACATAAAATGAGGGCGCTCATGGGGGTTGAAATACCCATGAACTTACAGTATAACGAAGGTCCACGGATGTTGAAAATCCTGGTGCCTGATGACAACATAAATGGCTGGGATTCGCCATATAAAAGTGTTGCATCAGCTGGAACGCAATTGTTGTGATGTTCATCCTTGTTTTGGTACGAGTAGCAACCCATTGGGGTTGACATAATCTAAACATGGCTCCGTGTCCTCCATGACCCGTCAAGCTTCTGCCACCCCTACCAGAAATATTGAGGCATACTCTTCAGAAGTGACAGCTAATCTAGAAAAATAATGACTTACTCTTGCACCGCTACACAAGATCGCCGTTGCAAATGCTAAGCACTCGTATCAGTCGCTAGGATTTTGTACAGCCCGATTCGTACACGACGGAAAGTACATGCTCCTCTAGACGGTTTTATCACTGCGATCACTCGAAATTGTAACCCGATGAATAGATTCAAGATTCATAAAACTTAAAATGCTTAGCTTAAGTAGCATTGTACAGTTCAGTATAATTCATCATTTAAAATATGCGCAGTTGGAGTTCTTATTGAGCGTGTGTTTCAAGATTATTTACGTGACTTTATAATGCTCAAGTAGACCGGGAACGATATCAAGTTTAGAGCACCGAGTACAGCACCACAGATACTGAAAGCTACAAGAATGTGCAATGCAATATGTTGCTAGAAGTACTGCTGTCTTAAGTTCAAATTGAAATTTCTCTCTCGCTTCATAAGGGACATTGTGAACGGAAACGACTCCACCAAGTTTCGTTCTTCGTCCGCTTGGCCTTAGAGAACACTCCGACGGTTCTGAATTTCAAAGCGCGTGAGTATCTCGTGCTGCTTTTTAACCTCTTCTAACAAGTAAAGCTTGTAAAATACAAAAAGGGTTGAGAAAATCACCATCGTCGACCCTGTCACGACGACTGTTGCTATGGCCATGACTGACCAGTCCCGGCCCTTAGATGTGCACACGTTGATAAGCGTAGTAAGCAACCCAGCAGCAGCATTCAAGGACATTGGCCTGACCTGATTCAGCTCTAACTCAATATACCGATTGGTAATAAACTTACATGAATAGTTTGTTGATTAGCCATAGGTAATTCATCCGAAGCTTAGGCTGACGCAATAGCCAAACCAAAGCCGCAACCCCGCTTGCAAATAGAATGCATGCAATGACAAACAGCGGAGGATTCTGTATAGTGTGAAGGATTGCACGACCGGTGCCATTGGTATTCAATACTTTTTCCATCTGGCTCGACCCTTGCAACGTGGTAAAAGTGCCAGGTACCACAAGATACCCAGCCAGAAGAGCCCAGTTTGCGACACTGATCGTAAGGTTGTATCGCACCTCCATATTTTCTTCCTCTTCAAGCATTTTCATATACCGAGATTCTACAATGCAGTGCTAATCAGTTCTTTGCACCGAGACATCGCGGACAGTAGGGGAGCGTGTCATGATCTCCGATGAAGACCTCATTACATACAAGTCATTCAGTCAGGATTCTGGGCACAAAGCTTGATATTTATCACAAGGAGGCCTACGGAATCCAGAATTTACATGTAAGCAAGTTTTTGATTATGTTTAGAATCTGCGATTCCTGCCATGGAAGGGTTTATGAGGACTTTACAAATATCAGAAAACGGGTGCAACGCAACAGTCGCTCCGGAAGTCACTATTGAAGCCGTCTTAAAAAATTGATTCTTCAAGTCTTCTAGTTATAACCTGACTTGGAAACTCACAGCTGCTATAAAGCAGAGACGATATCCCGTTATAATCCATGTATGAAGCTCCATGGCGACGTGGCTAGATCTTGTTAATGATGACGGACTTTGGTCTTTGGTTGACTTTTCTCGACTCGAAGAGCTTGTCCAGGGATTGCCGCACCCCAAATCTCAATGTCCACACCTCCTTTACTTTGTCGGAGGGCCAAGTCGGATTCGAGCTCTGCGTGCCCTCTTCCCTCTAAACAATGTGACTCGACAAGGTGGTACGGGTCTCGTGAATCTCCACATTAGTACCAATACGACCTGCTCCAAAAACCCCATTCTTTTCGCTGAAAGCAATCTGGGGCTTCACAAATACAAAGGTCAAAGTGGCAAACCCTCATCCCAATCTACCAAGACATCGTGCAAAAGGCACATAGTCCCACTAGGAGACTCATAGCGATCCTTGGAAGCTCTGCAACAAATCATCCAAGGGCAGCTTCTACTGCCCTGGACTCAGATTATATGTTTGTTCATCGACTCCGTGTTGGACAGGAGGGCCGCACAAGAGTTCCTGGCAGAACCTGGCCGGCGCCTGGCGTTTGGGAAACAGCCAGTAATGTCATCCATGCGCGTTGTCATTGTCCTGACGAGGCAAGAAAGTTCAAGTTCGGGAACTATGGAGTCAAACATAGTGGAGATTGGGTTGGAGACCAAAGAAGTTATCTTTCTCGATCTGAGACGAAGGAGTGATTTGTCAGATGTCGCCATGTTCGAGCCTCTTCGCCGGCTCCTCCAAGCTCGCCTGACACAAATTCGAGATGAGGAGGAAAGGGAAGGGCGCTTATTCTCTGCAGTTCATCTGAATGCGTTCTGGAAAGCGAACCTCACGGATGAAGCCCGATTCTCCAATCGGGGCTCTTTGGATCTGTTAGCAATCGCCCGCCAAGGCTTTCCTCCCGCCTGTGTCCAAGTCAACCACGTCCGTCGACACTTTGATCAATTTACAGCCCCTTCGTTGTCGCAGGAACAAAGGAATGAATTCATTGCTTCAGCGCTTCTCATGGATGCTTATCCACCGGGCATGCATAGTAAGTCTCTATCTCGTGATCACATTCGCCGTGTAAATGCTGACTGTTCTAGGGTTCCCACCGGCCATTGTCTTTGCGACTTTGTACGAGGAAACATGCAAACCGCTGTTATGCCACCACTCTGCAGAGGGTTCTATGGGAATTACTCGTTGTTTTGAGAATCTGGTCACAAAAATGACCCCTTTGAGGTCGTCTGCGATAATTCGGAGGGACTGCATGCAGCGATTCCATCAGCAATATGGGCAATCGGTCTCTTCAACCGTCTGCCTGGTGTGCTTGTTTCGCCCACCAGAGCACATGCTGCCATGTCAGCATAGTATCTGCGAGAATTGTTTGACCATTTTCGGTAAGCCAAGTCACCAAGCCGAGTACCATATCGAGCTAAGTCGGTGCCCGATTTGCAATGACGAGTGTGGTATTGTGTTCCGCCAACTCCCACCGACCAAGCATCCCATCATCCTCAGCCTCGATGGCGGCGGAGTTCGAGGTATCATTCAACCTGGTCTTCTCATGGTTCTTGAGACTCGTCTAGGGGTTTCCATTGGGGAAATAGTCGATCTTTGTGTTGGAACTAGAGTCGGTAGGTCCAAGTTTCACTGTCTGCACGAGTAACGCTCACAAGACCTCTCAGGGGCCTTGACGGCCATAGAAATATTCCTCAACAAGTCTTCTGTCACCGACTGTTTCCAAAAATTTCCGACACTAGCACGAAAGATCTTTCGCGGCCATGGCATGCCGTTCTTGCTCCGTTGGTTACACTGGATTAGCTCAGCATTCAACCTCTTCAAAGGCGGCCGATATGATGCTCAGGGGCTGATTGAAGTGCTTCAAGATGCCGTGGGACCAGACCGTCGGATCTTTGATGTCTCCAGAGCATCGCCGGTTGGATGTCGAGTCGCCGTTGTAGCTAGTCGTACTGCAGACGGAAAAGCCTGCGTCATAGCGAATTATCGCGGTCCTGGCCAGCGAGACCCTGATGCGGCCTACCAGTTTTGGACACCTGGGGGCGAGCTCGAAAACCCATTTCTGTGGCAGGCGTAAGTGCTTTCACTGAGACCCCATGCGAACCTGCTATAAAGGAAGCAGCTAACACACTCTCCAGAGCAGCATCTAGCGTAGCCGCACCATTGTAAGCCCCTCCCCCCCCACAATGTTACGGATGTGTTGCTGACCAACCAAGTTACTTTTCCACCCAAACCCTACCTGGCCTAGGCAGTTTGCAGGATGGAGGGGTGCGAGCCAACAATCCCCTGGCGATCGCGCTTCGAGAATCCAGCGTCATCTGGCCTACGGCCAAGAAGCACGACTTGCTCCTGTCGGTGGGAACGGGGTTTTCATCACCCTCGGCCCGGCCCCTGAAAAGTCGCTTTCGAAAACTCCATGACGGTGCTCTGCCTCGAATGATTCAAGCCACTTTACACTCACCATGTATGGATGGGGCACAGGGATTTGCGGAAGCCTTGAATTATCTCCCACTGTCCGCCCGATCCGACGTACTCCGCTTGGATCAAGCCATCCCCGGCCCGCTCCCCGATTTGGACGACATCACGCAGCTGCCGATGTTGTCATCATTGGCATTTACCGTGTCGGACGAGCTGGTCAGAACGATGCTCGCATCAGCAACATTTTTCTATGAAATGGATGAGTTTCCCAAAAATCAAGGGATGCTTCACTGTCGAGGTTCCGTGCTGTGTACCCACCCACGGTCGGCAGAAATCGTCCATTGCGTTCTGACGGAATTTCCCAGGGCGGCGAGATTTCAAACTGGGATGGGCGAGCATTTAGGCAACGTGGACCTCCAAGACTGCTGTAAAGGCTGTGGGTATTTCCGCAAGGAAATTACGTTTTGGGTGCATAGCCTAGAAGAAGAAATCACGATTGAAATTGCTGATAAGGATTTCCATCATCGAATTGGGGGCATGCCAAAATCCGTGCATGACCTCTTGGCCAATCAGAAAGCCTACACTCCATTTGGCCGTCCAGATCATCAAATGCCCGTTTGGCCTCCGAACAGGCGCTGTTACTGCATGCGAGGCCAGAAACGCCGAATACAAATTGAGGAATTGTCATCAAAAAGAAGAAAAATGTAACCGTAATGTTTGTAGCGGGCCAATCACAGCACGCAGATGGGGGGGAGGGTAGACGCTCTTTTTGTTTTGCTTCAACGCCGAAGGTCTTTCTGCGACAATGCATGTTCCCACTGCAAAACCCCGTCTTTGGTGGTTAACGTCTCGAGGGTTTATTGATATTCCATCTCGCAAAAGGTTGATTCGATTGTCATCAATGATGTTCCAGATCCTAATGAACCTTCCACCTTACTCAACAACTTGACTGTTTTTAGTTAGCAGTTTCATAGGCGCACTGAAACATCTATAAAGACTGTCCGCGCTGCTCAACACATCTAGTACATTTCATTTACGCTATTACCCACCATATCCAATTGATTACTTGCACGCTTTCTCACGGCAAAAAATGTCCACTCCAAAAATCACAGATCATAGATACAGAGCCCCCAGCATCTACAGCCGGAATACCAATTCAATTAAGATACTACCCATGAACCCCCCGCCGCTCAACCTTCCTGGCGCCGGCGCAAGGCCTGAGATTACTGCATTGGATCATCACCTGGCCAAATGCCGTGGATCCACGATGGCCTTGGAGACTACTCACTCACGCTTACGGCGCTGGAAAAATGGCCCTCCGCAAACTCTATCGCAGTTAAAAGATGAAAAGCTGCGCCAACACAACCAACAAGAACGTGAGAACGACTTCTATAGGAAGTCATTCCAGATTTTTCACCAACTTGCAGATACGGTAATGGACACCATCCAAACCCTGGCTTTGGAGTATCATTTCAATCCCGCCGCTGTCCCTGCCAAAGACCCGCGCTTGATCCGAGCCGTCATTCTCTTGCAGATCGCGCTTGACAAATCTCATACGAAAGAGTCCGAGGCAATCAAACAATGGAAAGAACAATGCGGAATACAGACGAATAACGATTCACCAACTGAATGGCTATGAAAGCTGGTTTTTTCGATAAATCGCTGAGTCTGGAATCTGGGATTCAGGGATGGCATCAGATCTCGGCGAACATGAGCGACCGGTGGGCTTAGCTTTGCAGATTACGTTGTCATTCCATTGATTGCACCCCGGCTAGAAGACTAATCTAAGCCAACAAAACATCCGACTTACAAGAAAAATTCATGTAAATACCTCTCAATTTTCAAAGTAGAATCTTCGTCATAGCGTTGCAAAATCCTTCTCGCCGCTTCAGGAAGTAGCGCCAACTGACGAGAAGTTAATCGTGACGATGACCTATGATGCAGAGATGTCAAATTTTGGATCTTGCATTCCAGTTGCGTAGACTGGAAGTCTAGATGTGCTAGCTGGTCTTGTAGAAAATGACACAGTTTCAGAAGCGAATTGGAGCTCTTGAAACTGCCAAGAGACCTGGTGAAAAGCACTGCGGCTCGGCACATTTTCAACAACGCTGCGGAGTCTTGCCAGGTGCGGTGGACGGCAGCGTGTCTAATGCTCGGGATCACATGTCGCCATTTTCGAATCGTCGCAATGATTGTATGAATGGGTTGTGACTGTGACCGCAGGTTTTTCTTCAGTCTTACCAAGAACCAGAAAGACTTATGTAGCTCAACAGCTTCTGGACAGGTCCATCCGTGGGCGAGAGATTCTTGTGGCAGGTATTGCTGGAGGAAGTGGAAGAAACAATTATCCAAAAGACCTTGCATTTCTCGTAATAAAAGATGCTGGGCTTTGAATGGGAGAGATACTCGAGGAGACCCTAGTCGGCTGTCAGCACTGCTCTAGTGTAACACGGTCGCATTCGCGCCATCTTTGTCATTACCATCTCTTACCATCGTTCATGTTGTGTCGTACGAGAGAGACCGTACTGATTCAATCTGCCAGAGTTAAGAGATGAGATCGGAAGCTTTGCAAAGGGTCATCGTCTCATGGAGAATCTGCTCTTTATAAGCGAAAGCTCCTCGTGAAGGGTTAAATATTCATAGGATAGCCCATCCTTACTAGACCTTTTATGACTCCGCCTCTTTAAAGATACTACACCCAGATATTGAAGGCATCTTTATGAGGCCGGTAATCCGAGATCTATTGCGCGGCTTTGTATAAATTCACTAGGTCTACCCCTACAAGCCTGTGCCATTTCCCAGAGACCCGCCAGGTAGTAGATCATGGCAATTGTCTTGAATTTGGTTGTGGGAATTATGCTTCTTGCTATCGTTGCGGTGAGTGAATCTGATCTCTCTCATATAGCAAGCTAACCGCCAATTAGCTTTCCTATCCAGTGAAACAGCCGGGCAAGCATCTGCATCATCGGGTATGAACATCTCGGACCTGGGTGAGCCATATGCTAATTTCAGGAGTCGCCGCGAGCACATTATTCCCATTCGAGATATGCAAGGGTCAGAGAGCCACATGGGTTTTCTAGTAGGTCCACTGGTCATACTTTTATCACATCTGTTGACCGAGTTACATGACGCTCTTTGGGACACGATCCAGCTTCTCAATTGTCGCGAAGTGAACACATTCGTCCCCGACACCGCCACCACGAGTAGCTGATTTCGAGTGATGCATAATGGATCAGCTGAGACTATGGAGGACTCCTGTCATGAAACTAGTTGGATTTACCTGCTTTAAAAGGCAGTAATTAGATAGACATTGAATCTCGACTAAAATCTTGCACGAAAAAGATTCCCCAGGATGCACCAACAGTTTAGGCCTGGATCGTCGAACCTCAAGAGGGCCCTATGGCCAGCCACCCAGCTAGCCTCTACTCAGAGACGTCTAGCCTCTGCTTATCTGGCTTAGAATAATTAGAGTGGGATGCTAGGAAAGAAAGCGTGTGTCTGGAGGAGAAAATATTTTCAATATTCTTAGTATCTAAAAGAGCTCAGAAAGATAAGTCGACTCCCAATTCAGCATAGAAAACAAAGCCAAGATCCATCAAACATTTGAAATGTTTAGTATCACTGCCTCTGAAAACATGTCAAAGACATGCACCTTTACTCCAATGGAATCAGCCCCCTTTTGAAATACCATTCTGCTGTATGTACCAGGCCAGACGGTCCCAAATGCTATCCTGTCGGATCAGCGGCTCGATCGTGGAAGGCTTTTGTTCGATTGGCGGCGAATTCTGTCCCACAGCTTCATAATCGCGTGGTGTTTTCCGTCCTGTTGGTTTGGATTGATGCTCCTATAATCTCTTCAGCGGTAAGGCCGAATCAACCCTAGAAAGTGGCCATCTTACGATTTTCGCACGACTAGGAGGTGCACTATCAGGATGGGAATGGTACGTGAATATCTGCCCGTCTGGCATTTCCATGATAAGCCAGCTTTTTATCGCATATAGAAGCCAAAATTCATTATGGCGGCGCAAGAGATTATTTCGACGTTTCCGCAACTGTTCTTTTTTAACGCGACTCAGAGAAGTAGCCATTGGGGAGTCGTTTTCTGTAGTTGACCATATGTCTTGACTCTGTCGTATTTATGTGTGGAGACTCCAGGTGCCAACAAATGTCTATTTGCGCTTGGGCCTTTTCTAAGTCCCCGTACCAGCATTAAAATGCCGGCAGATGAAACAACTTTCAACACACGTCAATCCTGTTGTTGTTGAAGCTTCAACGCCTCAACAGCTCTAAACTTCATGATGGCTTTCTTAACTGGAGGCACCTCAGATTAAACTTGCAGCTGGGCTTCTTGCGAGAATTTGCGGGCCGAAAGATTATCTTCTAGCACGTTGCCTGTTTCAAAGAATGTTGAGGAAGGCTAGATCCAACCGTCATTGAAGTCTAGTATAGATAGGCGATATTGATGGTTGTGCGGATGTGGCGGTAGACGGTTAGGTTCGTTCGCGTCCTTAAAAGGCTTGTCGCATCTCACTTCACACCGTGACGTTTTTCGCACATTTACAAGTTCACAAAATCTTGCACCACGTAGTCTATCCGCAACTCGACTTATTATAAACCTAACACTGTGGACTGGGCCCCGTATATCTCAATGCAGACTGGTTGTGATGAAATTACTTTCTTGAGATTCCTTGTATGCGTGATGTGGAGGATGGCGGAAGACCCACTCTGCACCACCCGACCGACAGCCCAAGCACCCTTTCGAGTTTCAATCCCCGATAAATTTGAGCTGACCACGAATCATACAAGCAAGTGGAATGGGAATACGTCTCTTCAAAGACAGGTTCCTGGTGTTACTTGGCCATATCCTCACAAAAGTCGAACAATTAGCCGGTCACGCTTTCTCAGAACGGGGAGGCAAATAGCTCTGAGGCGACTGGCTCAGACGGTCCACCAAAGCTCCCTGCGATTCTTATCGATGGTTCTCTACGCAGACTCGTCGTCGGATTCGCATTTGAAATTAGATGACCCGAACAACACAGATGCAGTCAGGTCACATTTTAGCGGTTCCATAAAACACAAACCACGTTCGGGCTTGGGATATAAGGCGGTGTTACTGTTGTTCCGATATATATCTACTGCAGGGTTAAAAAATCCCCCAACCGGCACCCAAGTGCGCATGCAACGACTGGTGCTTCACATCCTGCATTATATGAACAGCGATTATTTATTGCAGCCTCCTCCAACATCTTCCGAGATGAGATGACTCAAACTCGGGAATGAAAAAGTGTTAAGCGATAATTCATCGATATGTGTTCGTTCTCTTAATAGGCGGTTTCACAGAATGTTGCGAAGCCTTGACTGGATTGTGTACTTGCTTGCCATTGGCAACTGGGAGCTTCTTTGTGCATTCAGTGGGGCGATCCCGACTACTATCTGTCGAGACATGGAGTGGTAACTTACCGCCTGAACAGGGGTTATACTCAGTGACCCACTTTCTCGTATGTTTTGTATAGTAATTTGGTATCTTCGGCATTGCGGACGTCGTAACACCGCGTACCTTAGCCATACATGGGGTATTTCACCCCAGGACATTCGTTCTTTCTTCAATCAATCAACCTTTGCATCCAAGATTGGTTCCGCTTGCTCCTATCCTCGACCTCATTCGCCTATTAGGATTACTAGCCATTACTGTCGCAGCTTGCTCCGACACTATCCTATTAGGCCGTTTTTTGGCGGATTGTCCAATCTTTTTGGTTAGATTGGTAGGATAAAGCTTGACGATTTGCTTCAACTATACTGGAGAGTGACTTGCATAGCCACTTCTACACTTTCATATTTCCGTGGCCTACATTGGGGTGGTCACAGGCGGGTAGGAAGTGCCGTGGTGCACAGAGGCTTTCTTGCGATGCGCTTATGTTTAGGCCGTACTAAAGTATTTCAATTTTGAGTCCTACCGCTTTTGTGTTTTTTGAAGAAATGTGAAAAATTACCATACGACGGATTTCAAAAAACAGGCACACCCTGCGATTCCACCCAGTGGTGGTATCCTAATCCGGCGTCAGTAACCTTGCTGCTGATAGGCGCAACAGGCGTCCGATCGCCGATACCGGATTTCCACCGTGCTTGAATTTACCCATGCTTTTTGAACTTCAAGTACTGTGTACATGCTGGTATAGTGAAGTCATCGATTCAAGAACATGTTAGGAATTGCTCTTGACTTTTGTGTCTTAACATTTTTCACCTCACTATCAAGTCCCACCTAAACCCCTTCACTACAGTGCAGGCCGACGTATATTCAAAAAGATCCATTCATAACCTCTATGCGCGTGTTCATGCTCACCATGAATGTTTCTTACGTATATACACGATCTATTCGGCAGAATCCCTCCGCGTTCATATTCCGGTAGCTTAAGACAAGAAGCCTACTGAAAGTATATCGTCACCTAGGGTGTGATACATGGTATACGTTGACATTGAGATCTATCAGCACAAGCTAAAAGTGTATGGACTAGCATGCATATTTAGCGAATGAGATCCAGCGGAACCAATTCAAGATTAAAATGATTGATTGATACAGTCGTTCTCGAAATCGGCTTCACCAGTACACTCTTCGACTCTCTGTCTTGGCCCCACCGCCAA